TAGTGTTATAATCCCCGACAGGATTAGAACGACAGTGCGTCTCTTGTGGATGCTCGAACTCCAGCACTCGCTTCTTGCCTTCCGTCATGCTTTGGCTGCGCGAACGCTCGAAGCTCACCGGACGCTGGAGCGTTACTGAAGGTACGAAGCTCACGCTTAAGGCGGGACAAAAGAAAGATCTATCTGCTGTTATCATCGTGTCAGTGATTATGGTCGCGTCTACACGACGTTACGGGAATCAGCCTCGTACCTCGCAATAACAAAAATAACCGGCGATCTACGTTTTTGGTTTTGTTTTCGTTTTTCCATGCGAGTGGGTTTGGCTATGCACAGAAACAAAGAGACAAGTGCAAATATTAACGATAAAACCAACATTCTTGGTGTTTTTTTTTTTATTTATTTTTTTATGCGATTGGGTTTGGTTGCGCACAGAGACAGGGAGACAACTGCAAATCTTGTGCTCTGCTCCACCCATTGTTATTCCACGACGACGGCCCGAGCGGCGGTGTTCGGGCCTGCGTGCAAACCAGAGTGCTCCTCGGCTCATAGATCTTGTTTAAGACCGAGTCGACGCGGATGCAGTGCTCGCGTTCAGAAAGTTAAAGGCTGGTTAAGGGTTAAAAGCCAGCACAGTACGTGTTGCCCCGTGCGCACTGCGAACGTGCCACCAGGCAAGGTTCGTTGGTTGTTTGCTGCATCTTGGATCCGTGCAGTCCAGCCTTAAGGCAGCTGAGATCTATAGTACTAGACGAGACAGTTCGTTCAAACGACTGCCATTACGCTACAATGCGTTAGCGCACATCAAGAGAAAAAATTCGATCAACATCCAATATTGTATGCAGAAAATTCAAACCACCCCACTCTAACAAAGCGGGCGTCCATAAAACATCGGTTCGTAAGATGAGACTGTTTACCTTTTTGAATCATATTTTCTAAACAGTAGTTCAAACAGGATTCCAATAGATATGAAAACAAAACGGCTGGTTGTCACATAAATACCGCCATGACTGTGTTCGTCAGAAATTAGGCTGGAAGGGAAAGGGGGGGGGGGGGGGGGGGAGAGACTGCAGTTGCAGTGTTCTTAGGCAGTTGTTATTAGAGGCGGAAACTGTTTCCGCAATTTGCGACGAAGCAACGGGTTTTAAAATCTCAATTGATAACCCTTAACGACTGTGTGGTCTGATTCTCAAACCGGTCGCAGAACAAGCGGTGTTTTCAAAGTAATGCTTAGAAGACCAAAGTACTCGTACCGGGTGCAGTGTCATTAGCTTGGCAGCGAGTCGTCGACACACCCGCCAAGGACACGCCGCCATAGAAAACAAGGAAACAGAGTGTCCACACACAAATGACACGCGTCAGAGCACACGAAACGCGCGGTGATCGATATTTGGAACGGTGAAACCGCATCGCGTGCTCAATGCCCACATTCGCGCCAAGTGTCTGCAAACAGTACGGATAATCATGTAGAGAAGGTGGAAAAGCTGATCGCTCGAATGCTTTATGTAATGTTTTATTCGCACGGCAGGCGCCTGGAAACCAAACGCTATACCCACGGACAACTTTTAGCGCATTTTCGAAGAGAGAAACAGAGCGCGTACACAGCTTTCATCGGCTTTGGTGCAGGCGCCCCGATACCTTACAACAGTAACTTTGTCTAATGCCCCAGTTACATTAGAGCTCTCTACCGTCATTAAAGCGGCAGTCCCACGGCCCCAAACATAATAGCGGTGGCAGCTGTGCTAACGCTCCTGTTTGCGGTGCAAATGTCGCGTCTGTGCGCGCATTACGTATTTTGTTCTCTTTGAAAATAAATTGCCCATTCATCATCACCCTTTTAGTGCACAATGTGATACGCATTTTTCCAAACTTAACGCACAATAAAAAACAAAAACGTCAAGTTTTGATATTTCCAAAGACATACCTCTAAGCATTTCTAGTTTCTAGACTTGTAATGCATCCCAGACGCGTTCTTATTTATTGAATAGATGAAGGACCCGTCTGGTTCCGTGTATACGTGGTTTTCCTAATGAGCACACTCGCATTTTTTTAATATTTATTAAAAAAGATACCTTTTTATGCTACCTTGAAGAGTCAATTAAGTTTCCCGTCCTGACGCAGCAACGACATTAAGGGCATGCTCCTGGTAAACATAGGAATTCAGCATAAAAGATATATATATTAAAAATGCAACGCCATCAATTTTTATTTTTTTTTTATTTGTAAACACCACTTGATTGTGATAAAATTTCAAAGAATTGCCTTCACGCGTTCTTAGTTTTCTCAGGTGGCGTTCTGACATGTGATCTCATTTTTTTACAATTGTATGATGCTAGAGGAACTGGTCTGGTTCTCTGTAAGGCTTGTTTGATTATATTCATATTCATATTTGTTTAAAATAATTTCAAATCAAGGGACTATTTTGCAGCTCGATTCTGTAAGCAAAAAACCGATTTCAGAGAAGAGGTCAGCTATGTAAACAACGATTCTTTAATTAGAGCTTTTCTCGCTCTAATTAAAATCAATTTCTATGATTGTAATTTTTTTTAAAGCATAGCAATTGTCCTAACAGTTAAAGAGGACATTTGCTGTAGCAGACGACACGCACTTGCGCCATCTCTTGAAAGGTGGCTGAAATCCGAGGTTGAGAAGTTCAGGAAAAGTGGCGCTGAATCTGTCCCTGACGAAGAGAATTCCTCAAATATTTCCTCGCGCTTTTTCCTCGTTCTTGTAACAAATCACAACTAGCCTTCCAAAAAAATGAAAAAAAACACAAAAAAAAAACGGGAAGCGCGTTTTAAGGGTTACTTTTGCGGGGTCATACTAACGCGGTGAACCGAACGCTCACGGCACATAAAATACCCGCATGGCCGCAAATAACGTTACGGGCAAGCTATGTATAGGCCACAGGGCGTCCTGCCCTCGGATGTTACTAGGCGAGATGGTCAAGCGTTGATGCCACCAAGCGGCAAAGCTCGTAAGTACATTACCCATGGCCGTGCAAGAACTCTTCACGTCACGAGTGCGATACGCATTGCGTTTATCGCCGGCCAACTTTGAAGCGAGGGGTAGAGAGTTCGCGCTCACGTCATTTCGCTTCCGTTCCCCTTTCAAGGTGTCCTGAGAAGGTTTCTGAAATCGCCTAAATACGGAACTAACTCACTTTGCTGCCTCTAGCATCCCAGAAATCCCTAAATCATGAAATACGCGGCCGATTTCCCTGGTAAAAAGAAATCAAAAATCGCAACCCACCGAGGTCATCTCGGGCGATAGGAGAAGCATGTTCCGAGAGAAAGACCACCGTCAGCCAACAGAAACAGAAGCATCCTCGCACCTCCGAGCAGTGGAACGGCGGAGTGATATCTGGAATGCGCGCGGCTCGTTGCCCCCGGACTACGTTCAACCCTCGTCTCTAGGGTAGCCGCGAAGCACTTACGATTTCCGTATAGGTATTTCCTATCTTGTTTTACATCACGGATCATTTATTTCACCATTGGCATAAAGAAACAAAAAAAACTGTTGGTAATATTATAAATAAACGACCATTTTCGTTGATTGTACGCATATTTGATCTCGCAACTACCGCAAAACCTTCATTCAGTCAGTCAAAAGGCTTATCGAGCCGTATGAGACACGGAAGGGGGAACACGGGTACCCTGTCGGTGGCTTCGCGGCTCGGACAAGACGGCACAGAAGGGGAGTAAAGGGAGGGATGAGGGCGATAAGGACTACTACGTGAACGAAGTCTAGCATCGTGCCTCGGTTTGCCTGCTGGGCCCGGTGGTTGCGTCCAGCCCTCCAGCGAGATTATGTCCCGCATCGGGCAATCCCATAAAAAAGCTGTTGCTGATCGACGCCTGGGTTCTTGCAAGGCTGCCCGAACAAGTCGGCGGCGAAGTCTTCCGACCTCGCCTGGCCTTCGCTCAGTGATATGCAGCTCCAGCTGGTTGCCTCAGAAACGGCGCCAGAGTGCCTTTCTGCTCTCTCGTCGTAAGAGATCGCAAGGCTACACAGTACACTCCGCCGTAAGTATAGTCGCAAGTGTGTGAACCAGCCTTAAAAGGAAACTAAAGAGGTTCTCGAAACAAGGAGTTAAAGGTGAATTCTAGCGTATTTTTGTCCCGTGAATTTTATTATCACGCGAATTTGACCCCAACGTAACAACAGATACGAGAAAAACCGAACCACCACCCGCTCTGTGTGACGTCATACCCAGAAGTTTCAACTCCCTTACGCTTGCCACCTGTAAGGGATCGCGTGCAGCGCTCTTGACTGCTTAGGAAAAGTAGCGGAAAGCGCGGAAACGTTGAGATATCTGTATAGTACGTCATAATCCCCTCCTCGCACCGAACGCGGCGCTGTTTTGAAAGCGCTGCTGTGGCTACTTGGCGCATCAATCTGAAATATAATCTCGATATTCGTGATACTGGAGGCCAAATGTAGAGGAATTAAATGTTTTATTCTTCTTCTCAAATACAGAACCGGTTCACTTTCCCTTTAAAGCCGACCTGCAAGGTTGTCGTCTTCCTGGTAGAAGTTTAACGGAGTCTAGACACACCGCGCAGCTTCTCTGAGGAGGAGGTTACTGCGCCGATGAGAATGCCTGTAGCCTTCCTGCCCGAGTGACCACGGCCCGGCGGCCAACTCGGTGGGTTCATCCCCGCATTCTTTCCAACACCTCCCATTACTGAAGCGGCCAACTCGAGCTCCGGGTCGTTAATGTCAAGTTCTCTCGTCCGTTTCCCCTCCTCTTTCGGTCGAAGGTTTTTGTACCAACCGAACGAAGGCGATGCCCACCGAGAGTAACTTAACATGACGGACTGGTGGGTTCCGAAACCAACCTTAACACTCTTAACAAATATTTTCTTTAAGGGGAAAATAAAAGAATGCAAGACGCGAAAAACACAAGGAACACGGCCTCCTAAATTGACAGCTATAATAGATTTGAAATGTTTGTGCACTGTGTAGGACCCGCCGGAATCAGGCAAAGAGGATGCACTCACCGACTGCCGGTTCCCTTTTGATGAAGCCCGTACGATTTGGAAGCACTTCGGCCAAGGCGCTCGACCAGTCACCTCCACTTTCGTGCACCTTGAGCAGGGCGTCGAATACTACAACCAAAATAAACAAAAAATAAATAAAAATGAGTAAACAATACCAAATCCTTGTTGCGGGACTTTTGTGAGACTCAAACTGTTGTTTTTCGCAAGGCTTTCTTTCGTTAACGACAGTATTTCCGAACAGGTGTCTTTTACTCCACACAATGTGTGTTCCCACATAACAGTTATGTTCGAAAATGTTCGCTTCCAACATTTATTTTATACTAGAATTTTATACTATACGCGCGCAGTGTTATGTTTCCTTTAAAAAAAAGCGAAGAGCTGTAACGGATGATTCGAACCTCTTTCTCTACAACTGAGAGCAAAATGTATACTCAGGTTGGGGTTTAAAACGCTTCGTTTAGGGACCAAAATTACATGCCACGAAACCTAAAGTTTAAGGCCGTTCGATACGCTGAATTTTCGAGGGAAAACGCCTGAGAGACGCCAGCAGGCAATACCAACTAGAAGACAAGGCCTCCGCTTTCCCCTCTTCTTCCTCCTCCTCCCCCTTCCCTCCCCTCCCCTTCCCCCCCATCGTGCGCGGCGTTGTGGGGGAAAAAAAAAACAAAGAAAAAACGGTTACGAGTAATTAGTTAGTCTTCGTGCCTAAATGTGTAGAAGCGCAAACAAATAGTGTATAAGCACAATGACTGCGGTCTAATCCGTCTCTACTTGAGACTTTGGTGGCGTGGCGTCCCACGTTCCTCCTACAGTCTCTGGATTTCAGTCAACGGAGCTCATTCTCATCTCGCCTCGGCAAACCCCACTAGCGGTGCACTCACTCAGTTTCCTCACCTTCAGATGCGAAGTGAGGGTGAGTGAGTTCGTAAGTCTCGAAAACAAACTCGTGAGTTTGAGGATGAGTGAGGCACGACAAGGTGCTACGTGTGAGGGACGTGGCATCGTAGCGTCACGTGACTCTGTGACGTAGTGTGACACCTGAGGTCATTTAACATTGTGACACCGTGCGGTAAAAGCCTGGGGAGGTTTTTCTTTTTTTTTTTTCTTTTTTTTGTGCAAAATTATCGCTTAGTCGCGGACTATCTGTAAACGGTCGACTCCAGGGTGTAAGATAGACAGGTGGGGAAACGAGAGCCAAATGAGCGACCGGATTGTGTCCCCCTCGGGTTTCTCTTTTTCTGTGGCGCCATCTATGTGGAGCACCGCGAACTTTCACTCCGGGTGGGCGGCCGGTGGCGACCGACTAAACTGACGGAGATGATTTCTAATGGATTTTCAAAGAAGGAATGTCGTGATTTCGGTTTCTTTTGCGCGCTCTCCCATAAAGTTCCATGCAAATTCAATTCCAATTTTTTTCCTCTCGCCGCAGCGCCATCTGTCGCAAATCGGGGGTACCCGCAAGCAGACGAGTACACAATCCGGTCACGGCGCTGCGGTAGGCTTCTATGGCCGTTTTCCCACCTGTCTATCTTACACCCTGGTCGACTCTATCGTCCAATCGAAGGAAATATTTGGAGGAGCGCGAGAGCACGGACACAGTTAAAAACGACGCGATGCCAAAACACGGACAGCAGGGACGCGGCGCTTGCTTTCTTTGCAAGCTCGTAAGCGAAGCGAACGTTCACAACAATTCATTTAAATCCGACTAACAACTCATCCGTGCTCGAATCGGTCTTTGAAACATGGCACCGCACACCCTAAAAACAAAACAACAACAAAAAACGTTCTTGAAAGATTTTTTGATACCCCAAGAACTCTTTTAGCTCGTGAAGAACGGTTTCGCTTCAAGTACTATCGCCCCCTGGCGTACTAGAAAGGCAACTGAGCAATAAAAAACTCTTTCGCATAAAAAAAAAAAAAGCGTCGAAGAACCCTTTATAATTTATAGGTTTTTCACGAAGAACCCTTTTAAGGGGTGCTTTAAACTAACTTTTTAGAGGACGAAAAATGGACAAGTCGAAGAGCCCCTAAGAGCTCTTTTACGACTAGATTTGTTTTTAGAATGCAGGCCCTGCATAATTACATCACTGAAAGCATGGTATCGTGTTCTCTGTAATGTGTTTCCCAGGAACATTTCATCATTGCCACGAGTTGTGGATGACCGCTGAGCACAGCGCAGCTCCACGAGACCGATCGATAGCCCAGCTCGAAAGGGCGCTCACATACGAGCACCGACGCTTCCGATTGCCCGGGATGCAAATGTGGTTGTGCCCGCGGACTGACAACGCCATCATTAGCGCTCGGCTCGGTTGACCGAACAGTCGGGACGCTGGGACATAGATCTCCGAAAAGCGCGTACGCTGAAGACGATGAAAGCGGAGGCCGAGGATGATCTACCGTACTCGATCATGGCGAGCAACGGAGAAAAAGAGACCCAAAAGAAGAAGAAAAAAAAATCATTTTTTAAATTATTTTTTTTAGATGCCGTTTCAGAATTCCACAAAATCACGAATATCTTTCCTTCCAGACCTAGACAGTGCCGACGCCCACCGAGTAGGGCGTGAAAATAAAACGCCAGAGAAGGCTGAGCTGGCGTATTCTGTACTTCGAACAAGCAGCAGCATTATTGCAGTGCCGACTAGAGTGAAGATGCAAGCTTTAGTGACAATATGGAGTCGTATAAAAGCGACTCCACTGGAGAACGCCACTGTTGTTCCGTGGAGTATACTCGAGCTATTCGTGTTAGTTTTAGCGACTTGTAAAATACGGTGAGCAGAATCAAGAAATTTGAGCTCCGCATGGAGTGACCACCTTCACTCGAATGATTTTCCGAACTCGCTATGACAGTGTACGAAACACATTTAAGTGGTGATACCCCATTAGACGGACTGTGCGAATAATCGTCGGCGAAAGCAGGCCCCCTCATTTCAGCGTAATCTATATGTATGCAAAACAAAAAAAAAAAATGTTCAGCGTGCCGAAACGGGCCTCGATCAGCCAGATATGCATGTTGTGTTCTTGCCCCCATTCGCCTATTGCTGGCGATCTTTCATTCTCCGACCAATCTCTTAATCAATGACAAAAAGAATTTTGCTCTTTTTTTTAACACTTCGTTTTTGTTGAGATTTTATGAAAGTGCTGTCCTATGCGCATGCTCAAATAGCAGTGTATACATCGATGGCCAAACCGCTAAAGCCTGCGCGACGCTAAGTATGCGTTTTTGGACCCCTTCGTCGCAGCGCCCTCTACGTAGGCCGGCGCGGCCCTGATTCCAGGCTAGGTCTGACCCTTTTCTGTCCTCGTTTCCACCACGAAGGGTGGAGAATGAAAACGGGGAGTCAGTAATGAGCACACCAAGCTCACCAGAGACGTGGTTTGGTTTCGCGGAGAGCACGAGTACAGCCAAGCATTGTAATCTCTACGGAAGAAATTCAGCAAACGCTGCGGATTGAGGGCCCGACGGGCGCGTGCTTAGTCCGCGCTCAAAGTGGCGGCACGAGCTCCCGCTGAAATCGTAAAGTCATGCAATCTACGAAAAGTTCCCTAATGAAGTAGCACGGATAATGTTCCCACGAGAGAGAACTTCTCTGCGCACTGAGAATAGCGCTTCCGAGGCCCCAGCAGGATCCATAATATACCAGAGTTTCGAGTGTAAACAGTTTCGGGGCCTCTTCATTTGGTAAGCTCCTGCCATATAGATCGTAGTCCTTGTCTGAACGTCAAATCAGCATTAAGTAGACACGCGGAATATGGTCATAAATAATGGGGGAAAGGTATCGGAGTAAATACGGTCATCAGATTAAGCGGAACGGAACCATATTCTAGGAAGACGAACACTCATGAATAAACGAGATACACTGCTGCCGACTGGAACACATGTGTGTGTTTTCTCGGTGTAGCCGCCAGGTGAATGTAATTGTCTGCCTGCTGCGTGTTGCGCCCTCTCAACGTTCGATGTCAAATCTAAAGCTTTAAGCTGTTGGGATACGCACAAGGGAAAATAACTTTTCAAGTTGGAACTGCGATCGCAAGCTGAATCGAATAAAGTCTTTACACTATAGTCGAAATGAATTTGGAGAACATTGACATCTCTATTTAAGTTGACACTGCAAACAGGAACCGGAAACAGCTGTATATGACGCACTCGGCCACATAATGGACTATTTATTTATTTATTTATTTATTTATTTATTTATTGTACATACCCTCAAGCGCCGAAGCATTGTAGAGGGGAGGGGCAAAGCAAAATAAAACAAACTGACAAAACAATAAAAAACAAACAACAAGAAATTGAAATATCAAAACACACAGCCATTGGCAAAAGCGGCAAGCAATATATTTAACGGAAAAAAATAAACAAAATAAAATGACTCATGTTGGCTCACCAAACAGAAATGTAGACAAAGATTGGCGAAAAAGAGAATAATCAGGTATAGTTGCGATATCTGCTGGAAGGTGGTTCCAGTCGTTTGATGTATGCGGGATAAATGAATAAAAAAAAGTGTTTGTTTGGCAACGTGTTAATCCAACTTTATTCCGATGGTCCAGACGGGAAGAGTAATAGCTAGGCAATGTAAAGAAATGGTCTCGCAGCGACTGATGATGATACACTTTATGAAACAGGCAAAGTCGAAAAAACTTTCTGCGCAATGACAAAGAGGGTAACAATAAACTGGATTTCATTGATGATATGCTAGCTGTTCGATTATAATTAGACAGAATGAAACGAACGGCGTTATTTTGAACTAGTTCGAGAGCTTTATGCAGAAACGTGTGGTTAGGATCCCAAATAGAGGCTGCGTATTCCAATTTTGACCGTACAAGAGTGTTATAAAGAAGAAGTTTTAAGTTAACTGGGGCCGTTCTGAAGTTTCGTCGTAAGTATCCTAACATGCGGTTAGCGTTGGCGATTATTATATCAATATGAGGCTTCCAGGTTAATGTCGACGATATAGTAACACCCAGATAACGGTATGAATTTACAGATTCAAGTTGAATGTCGGTTAGTGTATATTTTGAAGGGCGTGCGCCTTGCCGGGAAACGCGCATTAGTTTGCATTTGTTAGGGTTTAATTCCATACGCCATTTTTTGCACCAAAGAGTGCAAAAATAATCACTCTAGCACCAGACACCGGTTGGTTTTTGTACGCCGACGAAACGGATTCGCTTGTTTGTTTGTTTCTCAGTGACACGCACTTTCTTTTGCATTACGGGTATTCTTTGACTAGATGTACCGTCAATATTCTTAGCTGCGGAACCTTAAACAAACGTCGTACTTCTCATGACACACACATAATTAATATTATAGAAAAAAAAAAACTGCAAGTCTTAAAAACCTTGTTGGCATCGGTCAAAAGGAACTGTGGAACGAACCAGACTCGCGAGACTGCGAGGCAAAATCACAGTTGATAAGAAATATTACCTACCAGAAACGCTCGCGGGCTTTCAACGAGGTTCGCGGAGTTTTGGATTGTATTAAGAAAATCATAAAGAAAATTCAGACTAGATACTCCGACAAAAATAAAAACAATATAAGCGATATAATGTCTACTGTTGGCATCAGCCCATAGTGAAGATAACTATGGGCATCAGTCAAGGCACCGTTTCACAAAATACCGCCCTGTGTGTGTCCCAACCAGAATGCTAAAAAAAAAAAAAAAAGAAACGTTTTTTTTTTGTTTTTTTTTTAGTGGCCCTTTAAGACCCCCCCCCCAACCTTACTTCTCATCTTCCGGTCAAACATCGTCTCGCTTTAACAATGCCTGCACAACCAAACGCATTTCTGGCTCAACGAACGCCTTCAACCGATCATTCCTCCCACAAGCCATCAATGACTGGAACCCCCTCGTCGCACCGGAGGAATTCAAGTAATCTCTTCAATCACATATTTCATGATATTAATATTTGTTAATCCCCCCTTTCCCCTCTGACCACTTTATGTAATGTCCAAAACGGGTCCTTAATGTGTAATAAATGAAATTAAATTACGCAATTGCGAACGCCAATACGGCCCTTCTTTTTCAAATACCGAAAATCAAAGTCCTGTGTCATGTCGTCTCCTGGCTTTTTATCCTCCCTCGGAAACATGCGGGCGCTCGGCACCTGAAGCACTGAGGGTGATTGGCGAGTTGGGGAATCGTAATAAGTTGTATTTTTTAAGGTGCCCGACAACTTCTCAGACTTCGAAAAGGAAATCTTAGACGGTCAAAACAACTGGGTTTGGTGTTTGTGTACCGTAGTTTCGGTTGTGACTCCGCCGGGGCAGCCTTTCAAGCGGAACCGGAGCGACGTGACCCCTCACGTCACTCATAGAAGTCCACTGCCCGTCCTCTTCTACCTCACACCGTTTAAAAAAATTTTAGATCGCTGAAAGGGTCCTAAAAGAGGTTCAAACTCGAAGTGGAGCATCGTCTGCCCACATCGATAGGTGGCGCGCATGGAGAAGAGTGGTTGATCGCGGGAAACACTTCGGGTCGGGAAGGTTCGGTGGTGTGAGATAAACTCGAGTTGCAGGACGACTCAATTTTAGACGTCAATGCACTGGCGTGGATCACGTGGGAACTTCAAATTCGGCGTTTAAAAATCGTTTTTTCTTTTTTTTTTTCACAAATGCTGAGTTTTTAAGTTGCAAATTTTGAGGGTAGTGACTCCAGGCATTGTTTTCAATCCTTCTGGTTAATAAAGATATATATGTATTGATTTGACATGTCAGTGCCCGTTTATAGTCTTCATTTTAGTCATGTAGTCAGAATCGGCTATAAACAAATACAACTTGAAGAAATCCAATGTTTTCCCCTAAAAATACTAAAACGCACCCCCCTTATTAAAAAAAAAAAGTTATTTGAAAGCAATAGCGTCGTTTTAATTAAATTTACAGGACGAAACTTCCTCGTAGAAATACATTTGCATGGAAGCCGGCTTCTGATGTCGCCTTTTTTAAAATAATTCTTCCCGCAAAATCCCCAGGCGGAAAAAAAAGCTAGAATCGCAGCCACGTTTACGTGTCAAGAAAGTTACAAAAAGTACAGAGGTATATATAATTACCGTACCCTGATTGACGGTAAGGATCTTGCATCGAGTTCCACCGGAAGCTCTCTGCATCAGGAACTCGTCGATGGGAAGCCGGGCGCTCCGCACTCCCTCCGACTGGGCTCGCTCCAAGCTCACGAGCTGCGCGTCAATCACACAACACCCAGTATTGGTCAGGAACACGAACCCTCAGGCAGCAATCACACTGCTCACATATCGCCCAAAAGACACGGAATTCTCCGCAGACATGACGACAGAATTATCTGCGGAGACGCTTCAAGCACGTTCGAACTCAGCTACAATTTTGTGTAATATTCCTGTAGTTTTGAGAAAAGCTAAAATACGTTCAAATGATGTGAGAGGCTGCTCCCCTAGAACCTAGACAGGGTAAAATTGGATGTTGTACATAAAAAAACGCAGGGAAATAGGTCTCGTGTTGTCGTAGAAGGCCACGGAAAAGAAAGAGAACATGCAGAACAGATATAATTTCTCCACTGTGCTCGCGTATTGGCGGTTCCTCGCCTATTAGCAGGTATTGATGAGTAAGGAAGAAGCGGCTAATTCTCAAGCGGCACAGGACGACCTCTTGGAAACGATTTTTTTATATGAGGTTTCCCATGCACCAAGTTCTGGTTTGATAGCATGAAGCTTATTATCCTTCGCTAACTTCCCTTTAGATTGCCCTTGCCGTGAAAAGGGAAATCTTGCGGGCGTTTTAAGGTCTTGGTAAGGTTCCCGGACAATAGATGGTAAAATGTTTTTTGAAGAGGCAGCTAGTCTACCTGCAGCCTCGTTGCCTGCGATGCCCACATGGCTCGGGACCTAGCGAAATTTAATGTAATTTCCACCCGCGAGTCCCTGTTGGGTTTCGGCCGGTACGAGTTGAGTCAACTTATTCGTGGTTGGTGTAACGGAACATACTGCAGTACGAACACTTTGAAAGTCTACAAAAAAAGATGGCTTTCATCACTTTTCTCCTGATTATATAGTCAAGTGCTGACAGAACACCATATAGTTCGGCAGTAAAAATGGTGGCAAAATTGCTAAGTCGAGGCGGGTAAACGAATTTGAGTAAAAAGAGGAGCCGACATACATTAAGGATGGATACCGTCAGTGTAAAACTGGCAGTAATGTCTTCTTTTTTTTTTCTTCCAGAGCTAAGAATTTCTTCTGTAGAATGAGTGAAGACACATTATGTTCACTAAATTTTATAATATACTAATCACAAGCCCCTCCATTCAATCGAAATTGTCACCGATGGTAAGGATGCAGATTTGTAGTAATGAACTGTCCTCTCGTGTTGATATCTTTTCAGATATATCGGTGTTTAGAAGGGAGCTAAATCTTTATCTTTTTAATTCCTGATTGCATGTTAGTCTGTTCTTTTTTACAAGTGGAAGACATTGTGTTAAGTCATGTACTACCATTTTATGTGCCACCACACTATGACCTAGTGGTCGTTCTGGGGCATGATTCAAATAAAGCATTATTATTATTATTATCATAGGTTTGATATCCTATGGGGCAGTATGACATGCGCTTTCTAGGATACGCTCACCCTCACGAGGCAGGTTAAGGCAGAGACGGAGGTTCTCAAAACGAAGACTGAATTGGGTCGAACAACAGTTGGTCTGCAGACCATTCTTGTACGACCAAGACAATGTCACAGGACGACTGCCATACAAGGAAGAAACAGGTCTCAGACAGTGTCTGGAGACTCTTTCTTTTTCTTTTTATTACGCATCAGCAGTGTAGATACCGCTTAAAGCAATCCAAGAAGGGCTTCAACAATAACGTAGCCTAAGCTAGCGTGATATGACGTCATTGCGGTCTAACCTAACGCACAGCCTTGGAAAAGACTCGATGTCTTAGTCGCATGCAGCTTCCTCCCTTCACTACCAGGCGCCGCATCAGGAAGCGAGTCTCGTATTAGAAAACACTGGCTAGGTGGCGCAAGCGCCGCCCGATCTTTAAAGCGTTCGGAGTCTTCGGACGTACACATCCACGCGGGCGTCCGAAGGAATTTGTCGAATAAAAAGAACACTATGTGCATCTTAAAAGTTGCACATTCCTCTGGTTCTTTGGCGTATACATCACCATACGTATGAGCTAGGGCAATCGGAAAATCAAAATGATGCAAAGAAAACCAAATATATTGACTAGCAGAACATAAAGTGACTGCAGGCAACGTAACAGCAGCAGTACAGCACAGTTGTAAAATATTTTTAAAAAAAACGTATACAACAAAAACAAATGCTCCGGGTATAAAAAAAAAAAAACGACAAAAAAGTATAAAAATATTTGGTGTTAGATATGTAATATACCAAAGTTCTAAGTGGTCGATTTATATACAGTGGGCTATGATCCTCGATAAAAAGTTCAAATAAAACGTACGCGAGTGAAACCAGGTGCAAAAGCAAGAAAGCAAAGCTTCCTGCCCTCTGAAGTTTCTATAAAATCTCGGAAGAACAAACAAATGTAGCGAAAGCGCCAAGCTTTGATAAAAATAACTTTCGTCCGCGTGTATCCATGTTTTTACTGGAGTCCCCAACAAAGACTGTCATAACCAGCAGCATGCTCTATACCTTCGGCGAAAACCCAAACAAAACGGAAAGTTAAGAAACTACGCACTGTTCAGGTTCAACGGCAAGCGCCTTCAGTCGTTGGCAGGCACGTAGCCAGGATTTTGTTTCGGGGTGGGGCCTGCCCATGACAAATGCTGTATGAGGGGGAGGGGGGATAGGAGGTCCCAGCAAAATGAAAGATTTCGGCCGGGGAAGGGGGGGGGGGGGCGGGCCGCATGGGCCCCCCCTCCCCCCCCCCTGGCTACGTGCCTGGTCGTTGGTACCTCGTTCAATGATGATTGATGTCCTCAACGATCAGGAAGACATATTTGGCAACGGCTGTCAGCGGCACTCCCTTCGAAAATGGCGAAGACCGGTGACGCGCGAAGTGTGGTCGAAATTTAAAAGTGCAGCGGAAATTTTATTTTGGATCTGGTTATGACAGAAGTGAAGCAGTTTGCGACAACTCTCTCACTCTCGCAGTACATCGCGTGGTGGTCTTCTAACACTCAAGCGTCTGGAATGCGTCACAAAACAGGGCTCAAGTCTCTGCCAGGACCACTCGAGAGTTTTGTACTTTATAGTCACTGAGAACTTAAGAAAAGCAGGGTGTGGCTAGTCCCTAGCATCTCATTGTTGTTCCTCAGCCAATCAAATTGCGGCATGGGCCGATTAAAACGCCAAAGAACCAATCACGAACCAAGAGGTCGGAAGACCACCCCACAGCATATCTCTCCGCCATGATAACTCCCGCAAAGTTCGCCCGATTTTTAGTTCAACTGTATCATTTTATAATTCATATCTGCCCATGACAATCAAGGACTGGAATAAATTACCCGATAGCGTTGTAACCGAGACTAACTCTGATAGATTTGCCGAAGAACTGATCAATTACCTGGAACTTACAAACATGTCTATCTGCTAATTTTTTTTCTTCCGTTTTGTGTTCACAGTGCATACCGTTAAAATATTAATAATATTGTGCAATGTTGATAACTACTCGTATTTTGTTGTTCTTTGATTCATCTGTATTGCTGACTTCCATGATTATTAGTGTGTTATTGACCTCCCTTGTATAATGCCCTAACGGGCCCTCAAGGAATAATAAATGAAATAAATGAAATGAAATGAAACATGAAAGCCGTACCCTGCGCGTTTCTTAAGCGGTCGGTGACTCTAGAACAAAATGTGTCCGCGTCGAACTTTCCGTGGAGCTCGAGAATGGCCAATCACAGCGACTCCCGGAGTGAGTTTCAGCCAATGAAAACGTTCAGAGGAGAGTTTAGGTTTAAAAGAGCCACTGAACGCGACGCCAGGCTTTACCGTCGTATCGTTAAAGCGTGTGTGCAGAGCTATCAAAGACGCAGAGAGCGAGAGCCTGATTCAGCGCAAACACTTGGTTTTCATGGGCCCTAAACTCGTCAAACGCGAAGATGGAGCAGGAAATTCGCGGAGCGCGCCGATTGGAAATCGGCGAAAAAAGCGCGAAGTCATTCTCGTGCTAGGCCAAACGGTGCGCTCCGTAAACTTTAGCCCCAACTTTGTGTTTGACGACTTTAAAGCCGCTCTGAACTCGTCAAACACAAGGTTGAGGCCTAAGTTCAAGGAATGCACCGATTGGCCTAGCAAGGCGATGACTTCGCGCTTTTGTCGCCGGCGCCCAATCGACGCGCTCCACCAACTTTCGACTCCAACTTTGTGTTTGAGGAGTTTAGGGCCCCTGGGGCTCTGAACTCGCCAAACACAAAGTTGGAACCCAAGTTCACGGAGCGCACCAAATGGACTATCCCGACGATGACTTAGCGCTTTTGTTGCCGGCGTCCAATCGGCGTGCTCCGCAAACTATCGGCTCCAACTTTGGGTTTGACGAGTTTAGAGCCCCTGGGGCCCTAAACTCGTCAGACACAAAGTTGGACCGGAAAGTTCGCAGAGCGCGCTGATTGGACGCTGGCGACAAAAGCGCGAAGTCATCGTCGTGATAGTCCAATCTGTGCGCTCCGTGAACTTCGGCCCCAACTTTGTGTTTGACGAGTTTATTATAGCCCCTGGAGTTCTCCTGGAACAAACATACTTTTTTAAACCACCTGTTCGCGCCCGTTCCTCGTACAACGCTGCACACTACTTCTGATATCAAGTAGAAGGTACCAAGTTCGGCAGTACCTGTACTCCATTAGGCACCTAGACTTTCTATGGCGACAGAAACCATCGAAACTTAAATTAAACTTTTTTTTTCATACAGCTTGTAAAGGCATTTATTTTCTGAGGAATTACCCCAGGGAGTTCGTTCGTCGTACCGTAGCGCCGAAACGGGGAAACGCAACAAAACGTTCGAAGTAAAAAGTTTAGAACTTGGTCAAAACTGCAAGGTGGGACAAAGCACCCCTCCAACTACCCGAAAGCCCTTTCCTCTCTCTCCAAAGAGGAATGGAACTCAGTCGGTTAAAAAAAAAATCCCTCCTCGCCTTTCATTTTTCCGCCCAAACCACTTTTGAACGATCACGACACCAGGAGTGGAGTCAGAAGCATCTGCGAACTAAAACTTCCGCGAAGAGACCTTGCGCAAAATCAAACTTCCTA